TATACAGTGCCTGGAAATAAGTCAGTAAGCACGTGACTGTAGATCATTTATTTGTTTAACTTTAAAACCAGTTTTGTCGATCATTTTATTATAAATTTGTCTCCAATTTTTTCCCATGCGTTGTTTAGAACCTTCTTTAACTACTATGTCTTGCAAACGAAGAGAACTTACAATTTTTGAACGTGGAGAAGTCATTGGAGCTTGGAAATGTGGAGTAAGTGAACGAAAGATAGCTGAAGCATTAAATTGTCCCAGTTGTACCATTCATAAGGTTATTTCTACTTACAAGATACGTGGTGATGAGACACTCCCTCCTAGGACTGGAAGACCGCCTAAAATGACAGAAAGGGATGGCCGACATTTAATAAGAATTCTTAAAAAAGATAGGAAAATGACCCTTCAGGAGTTACATGAGAATTTCGTTTATTCTACTTCCACACATGTATGCAAAAAAACTTTACTTAATTATCTTCATGAACAAGGTTTTTATAGTCGAGTAGGAGTAAGAAAACCTCTTGTTACTGAAACTAATAGAATTAAAAGACTCAACTGGGCTAAAGAACGAAAATTATGGATAAATGAGTGGGACAGTGTTATTTGTAGCGACGAATCCAAATTTGAATTATTTAGAGGAAATGGTAGGAGATTGGTTTGGAGAAGGCCACATGAAAAATATGATATTGAGTGTTTAATACCTACAGTAAAGTCAGGTCAACAAGGAGTGATTGTTTGGGGATGTTTTTCAAAAAACAATCTTGGTCCATTAGTTAAATTAGAAGGTAAAATAACAGCCACAGTATATATGAATGTACTGGAAAATTATTTATTACCATTTATTAATAATCTAGACGATCAGGAAAATTTTATTTTTCAGGATGATAATGCCCCTATACATACTGCAAGGGTGGTTAAGAGTTGGGAAGAAGAAAATGAAGTAAACAGCCTTCCTTGGCCCGCACAGAGCCCAGATTTGAATCCTATAGAGCATTTATGGGATGAATTGGAAAGGCAGGTGCGGGCACATAAGCCATTACCAAAAAACAGGGAGAATTTATGGGAAATACTTCAAGAGGAATGGTCAAATATTGAAGCTGATAAATATCAAAATCTTATTAGTAGCATGCCTCGTCGTATCTCTGCTGTTATAAATAGTAAAGGTTACCCAACAAAGTATTAATAAAAAGTTGAAGGCTTTGTCTTTCAAATAAAAAAAAAAATATTAAATTTGGCGTAGTAATTTATGAATTATTTAATTTTAAAAATTCGCATTAAAATTGATCGACATCACGTGCTTACTGACTTTTTTCCAGGCACTGTACATACAATCCAAATAATTTAGTATAGAAATATCAAAAATGTGGATAGATGTTGATCCTTATCAATATCAGGTAAAATAATTCATTTTATCATTTAATAATATAACATTATTGAATTTCTAATTTGAATAATAATGCTTTTTTAAATCATTTATTTAAAAGCTCCATGTTACAATTCCTACTATTTATTCAACTATTGAATCAGAAAATATAGATGAAAGAGTAGTTTATATAGGAGATGTAGAAAAAAGAAAACAAGTGGAGAATATAAAGAACCTGGCACAGGGGGAAAATGGTGTCAATCTTAAAAATTGGACTAGTGGATATAAAGATATTGATGAATTTATACAACAATCACAACTTAATGCTGTGCATTGTAAAAAATATATTGAATGGATACCTTTTGAAAATTTTAAAGATATTACTTATATTACCAGAGGTAGATTTGGTAAAATTTATTCAGCAAAATGGCTTGAAGGATATATTCATTCTTGGGATATTGAAAATCAAAAATAGAATAGGTATAGTAATACAGAAGTTGCATTAAAAAGTTTGGACAATTCTTCTTGTATAAGTACAGAATTTTTAAATGAGGTAATTAAAATAAGAAATGTAATCTATTTACTTTTATTTTTATTTATGTATTACTTATATATTATTAAAAATTTTCACTTTCAATATGTTCATTAGATTAAAACTCATCTTCAGATTTATCTTTGGGATATTGTTCAATGTTATGGAATAACTCAAGATCAAAATACCAAAGATTATATGATGGTTTTAGAATATTGTAGAGAAGGAAATTTGAGAAATTACTATCTCAACAATGAATCAGATTATTATTCAAAAATTAATAAATTACAACAAATTGTAAGTGGACTTCTAGATAATCATAATGCTGGAAAAGTTCATAAAGATTTTCATTCAGGCAATATATTACATAGAGATTATCCACTTATAAGTGATTTAGGAATGTGCCAACCAGCAAATAATGAAAAGCAATCAGTTAAACAAGAAGGAATTTATGGAGTATTACCTTATATGGCACTAGAAGTTTTACGTGGATATCAATATACAAAAGTATCTGATATTTATTCATTTGGAATAATGATGAATGAATTTATATCTGAAGAAACTCCTTATAATAATATTCCTCATAATCATGCTTTATCTATTAAAATATGTAAAGGACTTAGACCAAATATTTTCAAATATACACCAAAATTACTTGCAGATTTGATTACTAAATGTTGGGATGCCAAAGCAGAAAATAGTCCAACCACTAAAGAATTGTATCAAACATTAAATAAATGGGATGAGTGTAGAGCAAGTGAAGATAGTGATACTGGATTTCAAATATATGAATATAATGATAAAATTAAATTAAACAGAACAAGTGAAAAAAGATCTAACAACATATAAACACATCCACAGGCAATCTACACTAGTAGACTTTTAAATTTCAAAAATCTTCCAGAACCAGTAAATTCAGGTAATTTAATTTAATTTTACTTTGAAAAAAAAAAAAAAAAAAAAAAAATGTTTACATTACTAATAACTTTATTTTTTTAGTAGACGGTACTAAAACAACATTACATAAGTAATTATTTCTATCAGCAATCAGTATAATTAATAAATATTTATATTGTTTTAATATTATGTTAATTAATTTATAGATTCAGAATGTTTTGATTGTCAATTAGACGAATTAGGTAAGATATTTATTCTTCAGCTCTTTATTTTTCTAATACTTAATAATTTGCTTATTTTGCAGATCTTGATGAAATTAATCAAGAAGAAGAAAATAATAATACTGAATGATTTTTTATGAGAATCAAAGAATTTAGTTTGATTAAAATTATATTATTAAATTATTTCTTTTATACTAGCTATTATTTATGGGTTTTGTATGTATTATTTTGGTTTGATAAAAATAAATTATAAATTGGTTAGTTATTGATTGTTCATTTATGTAAATTAATGTTATCCTTAAACTTTTTGACATGATATGATGTCATTCGCCCCTAGAGGGACTCAGGAATTTTTAGTATCAAAAATCCTATTTGTCACGTCCTATTTGCCAATATAGGGTAATCATAGTAGTCATATGAGTTTTATTGTCAGTGACATCTTTCGATAGTAAAGTTGAATATTATTTTCCTTTATTGAGAATCTAGAATAAAATTATTAAAAAACATAAGTTCATTGTGACCGCTAATGTTGTTATTTTCATACTTATATATTTTACATTTTTATTATTATTTTACAAAAAAACTTTTGTCAATAGCAAACCTATATATATATATTAAAACATTTCTATTCTTTTTTACGATTATCACAAAATATTTTGTATGAACTAACTTTGTGCATTATCAATATCCTTTTTCTTACACGTTTTGAAAATGAACATGATAATAAGGTAATTAGATTAATATGTATATAATTGGTCTTTAAAATCAAATTGTTTCATTCATTTTTCTATTTGAATTAAGATTGGCTATACAAAAAATATACTGTCACAATTTTTCAGTATCAAATTTTTGAAATCCTATTACGACATTATGACAAAATTTCTTTTTATAGCATAAGAAATAGAAGTGATACCAGCTTCTAAATTTGGAACAATAATTTGGGTATGAAAAATTGGAAAATAGGAAATATCGAAAGAATATAATGAAATCATTTTTTTTTTTTTGAATAAAGGAATAAGGATTTTTAAAAACATATTTATTTAAAAGCTAGTTACTGTATATGAAAATATTATGTAAAAAAGAAAATAGCCAATGAAATCCGCAACTTTCTTTTTAATTTAAAAGATTATGTAATGTAATTAATATATTTATTTCTTTCACAAATTTAATAACTTTATTGCAATGGGTAAAAAAATATTTATTTTTCAATTAAATAAATAAAAATATCTGTCTAATAATTTTTTCCAATAAATTTAAATATTTAACATATATATATTTTCACGTTTCAAAGAGAATTACATTGAAAATGATAAAATAAATACTGGTGCTGACTATAAAATAAAGTAACATAATATTATACACAAATATGTTAATTAAAAGCCTACATTTTAATATTGTAATAGGGCAAATTCTTTTTCCTGATACTCGGGTGAAGTTGCTTATGATATTGCTGGTTGAACATAAGTAGTATTTGACATTGATGGATTTGGATGTGTATTATCTTGAGGTTTTTAACGACCTTCATTTTTTAATGAACTTACTTCCATTTTTAAATATTGTCTTTACTCTTTACCTTTTCAATGAATTCAATTAAACTATAATTATAAAGTCAACTAAGTGAGCGTAATACAGCAGCTTCACTTTAATAGGTTAGTCTAATCTAACATTTCTAAACTTTTAATCTTTTCATCCTTTTTGTCTAATTCCTTTCCAGTTTTCTATTTCCATGAAACCTTTATAATAAAAAAAGTTTATTATTCAAAAATAAAAATCCATTAACCAATTATGAGAAAGACACCTTTCGAGAATGCACTATAATATCATTTTTTATTTCGAGATGAAATTTTTTTAGCCATTATTTTTAGGTGTAAAATGAAAAATATCTAGTTTGTCAATAAAACTTTTTTATCCCTGATTATCATATTAAAAAAGAATTAAATGTTTTACATTAAATAAAATTAATAAGTTGTAAAGAAAAGTTGAGTATTATTAAAAGAAAATCAGGATGGTAGTCAACTTTACAGTATAGTCTAACATAAATTGTCTTATAACATGTAACACGTCTTTTATAAATTTGTGTAAAAGATGTAATATAACTTATTAAATTCTGAAATGATATTGGTTAGTGATTTTGACGGACTGATATACAGTTTAATTATACCTTTTATGTCTTTTTTTACTTGCTTATAACACAAGCCACCGATTTTATTGATGCGCAGTTTAAATTGTTATATGGTAATAAAATAATATGTAACGCGATTTTTACTGCGTCTTTTATAATTGTTTATTATAATATACCACAAGTGATGACTCATAATTATATTCTAAAATGATATTGGTAGTGATTTTGATGGACTGATATTTAAATATATCTATTACAGTTTAATTATACTTTTTATATCAAATAAAATATTTTTTTTTGCTTACAAACTTATACTGTAATAATTTTTTGCTTTTAAAAAGCCACTGATTTTATTGATGCGCAGTATTAAGTATTTTTTTCATCAAATCAATTATAATATCAACAATAAACTATTTTTTACTATTTTTCTACTTTTGCAAGTCCGCAAGAGTTGATTACAAATATTAATATCATTTATACTTTTTATATGAAGAGCTTGTGCAACAAAAAAAAATATTTATACAGTTCTTTTTTCTTTTTTTTTTTTTATTACACATCCTCTTATTCCAAACATTCCAAATATTCTCCTATTCCACACATACACATCCACTTATTCTTTCCCTCCTTTAGAGAACTTTTTTCGCGCAAATAAATATTTTTATTTTTTTTTTTGTGCGAAAAATAATATCCTCTTATTCTTTTCCTCTTTTAGAGAAAGGTTAACCTTTTTTTCGCGCAAATAAATATTTTTATTTTTTTACGCAAAAAAAAATAAATATTCTTCCCTCCTCCTTCTTTAGAGAAAGGTAACCAACTTTTTTTTGTGCAAATAAATATTCTTATTTTTTTTTTTTACGTAAAAAATAAATTATTTTTTTTTTTTT